CAATTGCCATAAAGCTCCATCTTCTCCATTTCCATGTCAACATACTGTTATCCTCAGTCCCTTTGGAAATTCAATAGGAATTAGGAAACAGCTGGTGATTTGTGCTCAGATGCTATGAGAGTGTTTGAGACTCCAAGAGAAATGTGTATTGGAATCCAAAGGTAGCTTTGTATGACCAATTATTAACTTACCATATAGATTTAGGAAGAAGATCAGGAGGATACTTACACATGTCTACAATAGGCAGAGCCTACCACAATTCAATGAGAGCTTTCAGAAATTCCATTTGGCAAATCTTGGTCAGTGACGATAAAGTAACCTCTTGAGGATTGGCTATTCATTGGTGTAACTCTCCCCCCTTACATTTCTCCAGTATGTTTAAATTTTTATCATGGCGATGCATGATAAGTAATCATGAAATCCAGAATACAGAGAGTCCTTGAGGAAGATCTCTTTGGTGAGATGCCTCTGCTTATAGTCTCCTGGCTGTGAGCTCACCAGTGATAATATTGGCAGATGATCCTTAAAATTCCTCTACGTCTTGGAAAAAAAATGGAAGCCTTCAACTACTCAAAACCAAGATTGTTTATATTAGCTGGCACTGTAGTGTGTTTGCTTTGCTTTGCTTAAGATTTCTGGGATTCAGTTTCTGGTGTATCCTGCCATTTCCCAAAAGTTCCAATTAAAGGAAACCCTTTCCGTACTGAAAAGGTGGAAAATCTGTAATCTCTCCTAGACAGGTAGTCCTCGATTTACGACCACAACTGAGCCCAAAATTTATGTTGCTAAGCGAGACCTTTGTTAAGTGAGTTTTGCCTCACTTTGTCACCTTTCTTGACACAGTTTTAAGTGAATCATTGCAATTGTTAAGTTAGTCACACTTAAGTCGTTAAGTGAATCTGGTTTACCCATTGACTTTGCTTGTCAGAAAGTCCCGCCAAAGGTGATCCCATGATCCTGGGACACTGCAATCATCATAAATGTGAGTCAGTTGCCAACTATCTGAATTTTGATCACGTGACCCTGGGGCTGCTACAATGGTTGTGTGAAACACAGCCGTAAGTCACTTTTTTCAGCGATGTTGTAACTTGGAATGGTCACTGAATGAACTGTTGTAGGCCGAGGACTACCTGTGTTACTGAATTACAAGCTCTTAGCATGAAAGACAATCGAAGTTGTTATTTAATAATATCTGGGGCTCTAAAGGATCTACGTCTTTAACCTGATGAGGAATTGCTTGAAAGCCACCTGAGTTGACAGATGCTCTGGCAAAAGAATGCATGCCATTCAAATAAGACAGCTGAGCATAAAGATATATCTATAAGCAAAGAAAGAGCCAGCCTGGTCTAGTTGTTAAGAGGCTAGATCAGGGGTAGGCAACCTTGGTTCTTTTATGACTCGTGGACTTCAACTCCCAGAATTCCTGAGCCAAGGTTGCCTATTCCTGGGTTAGATGAAGAGTGAGGAAACCCAAGTTCTAGTCCTGCCTTAGACACAGAAGTTAATTGGTAAAACATGGGCCAGTCATTCTTTCTCATCCCAAGAAAGAAAGCAATGGCAAATGTCTTCTGAAAATGTTGCTAAGAAAACTACAGGGACTTATCCATGTAATCGCCAGAGATGCTTAGCTATAAAGCAGGGCTCCCCAACCGGGCCGTGGCCTAATTGCCACTGGTCCGCGAGAGCGGCTGGCTGGTGCACACACACGGCCCCACTCATGTGAGCCTTGTTGTAGGCGCTCATGGCCTGGCATGAACCTTGTGGGCGCTTGCGGCCCCACTTGCCCAAGCGTCGCTGTGAATGTTGCAGGCGCTTGTGTGTGTGCACGCACCTGGACATGCGCCTGCCCCTCCCTCTTTCCTCTCCCCCTTCCCACTCTGGGTCACCAGCCTCCGGAAAGGTTGGGGAAGAGCAGGATTGAGAAATCCTTGGCATTTCAAATGCTGGCTCTATATCATGTTTGTGAAACTTATAAACCTTATTTTAATTTTTTTTTTAAATGATTTTCTAATTCAGGAATGGAGGAAAAGTGCTGGATTTGAAAAGTCACAAGCATTTCCAGGTTCATACCTTACTCTTGTAAGACTAGAGTGCTCTGAATTAAGATGGAAAAACTGCAGAATGCA